CCCCCCAGACAGGTCGGAGGTCGGGGGGCGGAGGGCACAGGGACTAGCGCTCAGCTCTGCCCGGCACCTCGACAGGGACCCCACCCGAGCCGTGAGGGTCTGGATTCTGGGGACTGTGTCAGTAGTTCCACTCTTTGACAGGAAAAGGGGTCACCGCGGCTCACGGAGCAGCAACCTGGCCTGTTACGACGGAGCAAGAAATGGCAGTGCGCAGAGGCTGACGGCAGGGGGATCGCGGTTTGAGAAACGGCAAAAAATAAAAACATATGTGATATTCTATTTGGGCTAACGAGACTGTTTACATAAAAAAACACTTGGAACATTTGGAAACAGCCTAGTCGACTACTGAAATGGTCACACACTTTAAGCATGAACGGACACACGTGTACACCTACACGTGACTACACAGAAGCACACCGACACTAACGCACGGCTGTCACCGTGCGTCACGCGGCCCCCGCGGCTCACCTTTACGCCGGCTAGCATCCCGGTCGTGGACACGCTGAAGTCGAGATACGCCAGGGTGTCGGGGTTGGAGGGTTTGCAGATCTGTGCGGGCCGCTTCTTTGGCAAATCATCTGAGAGCAGAACACGGAACACGCACGTCCAACCCGACTCTCGGCCACGTGGCGGCAGCCCCCCCGCCGGCCGCACACTGACCTGTGTCCAGTATGAGGGGCCACGTCCTGACGTCCACGGCTGCCGCCGCCTCCCGAGAACGCAGCAATTTACAGATCAGCTGTGTGGTCATCAGACAGGCGGAGCGACTCACCTGGAGGTCAGAGAGCAGAGGTCGGAGGGCGAACGCAGACTGCAGAGGAGGAAGCCTGGGGGCTCGTGATGCACGTTGAAATTGTGTGGCTGTTACGGGCAGCCGCAGCTCCCAGGAGCCGCCACCGCCTAATGAGGGGTTGAGGTCGGAGAGAGCCAGCCGCCGTGTCTCGATCACACTCAGAGCAGAGTGTCTGTCCCAGCAGGAATGTCGCCCCCCAGACGTGGCACGGGCCGACCCCCAGGGGACACCCCGACATAACGGCCAGAGCGTGTTCCAACAGGACAGGGCAGCGGCCCTCTCTGTCCCCATACTATTTTGCCCCTGTGGTTCCTCCTCCAACGGGGAAAAACGTATCCTAATCCTCTTAAACTTCCTCAGACGTAAAAATTTTAAAATAGATCTATACTTTCAAAAAGGAACAGGAAACTTCTAAATCTCAAGGAAGTAACTTCTAGAAACGCACTCCCTGCTCCCCACCTGGCTGGTGCGGGTGGCGGGGGGAGCCCAGTGACGGCGGCGAAGCTCTCCCAGGCGCCTGCGACCGGACACGTGGCCCAGCAGCCACCACCTCTCTCCACTTCCGCGCAAGTTCAAGTCTCGCTTCCAGAACCGGATCGTCGGCCCCGAAGGTGGAGCCCCTCCCCATCCCGCCGCGCGGATCCCAGACAGACGCCCCCGGCGAGCACCTCCCGGGGGCCCCGGCACTCAGGCCAGGAGGGGAGGCCCAGACCCCTCCGGCGTGTTACCTCCACGATCATCTTGACAGTGGGCAGCGTTGTCGCGATGTTCTGCGGGTGCGGAGGACGGACGGTTATGGGCACGCAGCCGGCGTACAGGCAGCCGTAGAAGGCGGCGATGAGGTCTATCCCTACACGGGGAGGGAAACAAGTTCCTACTCGAACCGAGCCACACTGCCTGCCTCTTGCCACCCCTGTCTGTGAAAGCAGGCAGGGGACAGACCCTTCGTCCCCGTGGGCTGGAGAAGCTCCGGCGACCAAGTCCCTGTGCCTGTCGCTTTAGCCGTGAGACGCCAAAGCCGCCTGGAGTTTAACTTGTCTAAGGAAATACTCAGCTTTGTAATGAAAATTTAGGAAAGATTTACCCACGACTGATCAATAAACTACCTCAGATACCTGATAAAACAAATTTAGATTCAACTGTTTTCAAAAGTATCACTTAAGTCTCTAAAAGCAGCGTGACAGGTGGCCTGTCCCCGTGAGTGGGAGTGACTAGCCACAACCAGCCCAGTTAGAGTCTAAGAGGATGCGCTTTGGCAATCACGCGGCAACACCGCGCCGGGCGCCTCTCACACAGGGGTGGCCCGGCTGTGTCTGGAGCAGAGCCAGCGCCCGCCTCCTTACCCGGCGGGTAGACCAGGGCGACGTGGTCCCCATCCTGCAGGTGGCCCCGCTCTGCCAGCATCACGGCTATCTTCTCCGCCCGCTTGTGGAGCTGCACGCAGGTCAGCGAGTTCGCTATCGTGCCCTGAGGGTGGAGGACAGGCGGGTGAGGGGATCTTCCAGCACAACAGCTTGTGCAGATGCCATGTTGCTTCCCTTGTTTAAAATGTGAAATCCAGTGGTTTTGGTACATTCAGAGCTGTGCAGCCACCACCAGCCAATTTTAGAACGTAGCCAATTTTCACCATTCCCCCAAGACCCTGTGTCTGCTAGAGGTCCATGCTGTTTTCTTCCAACCAGGTGACAAGCACAAATAAAATAGGTGTCTAGATATAGTTGTGTTAAGAAATATTTTTAAAAAATCATCTGAACTCAAAAAAAAAAAAAAAACTAGTCATTTTTGGACTCGTGTTATTGCCATGGGCAACGAGGATTACTAGTAAACCCACAGGTTTACATCAATAAATAAGGCTAATTTAAAATGTTTATTTAGAAAGACCACATCAGAAATCGAGGTCAAAAATCAAAACCAGCAAAAGCTGTAATTCCCCCCAGAAAATACCTAAAGGAAAAAAAATAATTTGCTAAACGCATTTTCCTGTAGAATTTTAAAATATGTGGAAACAGAGAACACATTTGGACCAAAAAATACCTTAAAAAGGGTTAGGGAAGATCAGCCGTAAGATGCGTACTAAAAAACGTCAAAATAGGGTGAGACTCGCTGTGTAAAATGTAAGGAAAAATACACGTGAGCTGCAAATTATAAACATACAACTAACCAAAAACAGTTTTTCCCGAGGTTTATTTGCATCGTTCTAAGATGTGAAGAGCTCTCCGTCTACAGCTACTTTAAAACCTACTTCTTCAGGATCAGATTCTATTCTAATGTAGTAAACAGCTCCGCCGGCAGTCCAGGGGCAGAAGGGGGTGCCCCACGGTCCCCAGAGCCCCCCTCATGCAGGAGGTGGTGCGAGGGCTGCACCCCAGCGCTGAGCAGCGGGGCTGTCAGGCACGGCGCATTCCTGTGTCAGCGACCTCGACACACACGCGAACCACAAGGCCTAGGCGTCAGAAGACATCCCATGATGCATTGAGACACAAACACCGGCGCCCAACTTCTACCAAAAACGCTCACAAAACCACCGACGACCACAGCTGGCTCGGTAGGGGGGACCATCCTATCTGCTCACGGCACCCCCAGGTCAGGGCAGTGGAGGCCGCCGGCCACGGACCCTCTGATCCAGGAGGTTCAGCTTCCCCGGCCTGCACTGAGCCTGCTCACAGCCCTTCCTCGGTTACTTTTCCTCAGAGGAAGGTCACAAGGTAAGAAAACAGAAACAGATACAGTGGAACAGCCAGAGAGCAGGACGTGGCAGAGGCGGGTGGAGACGGGCGTGGGAGGTAGGAGTCTGGGTCCAGCCAGAGCGTCAGCAGGTGGGGCTTGTGAGGCCAGGCGGCCCCTGTGCATCTGCACAGCGAGCTCACCTGCCTGCTCACCTGGACCAAAACACACCCCGATGGGACCAGGACACGCAGCGGAGGCCCAGGGACCACTCATCCGGGTTCCACGCTGGGGTATGCGGGTCACTCAGCAGGAAAACCAGCCCCCCTCACCCCGCCCCAGCACCACGGAACAGACGGGGCTCGTGGCCAGCGGGAGGCTGGCCCAGAGGACAGCAATGGTGGACGTGGCCCACCCTCTGTTCCCACTGGACCCCTTCTCGCCACGTGGGAGCCTGGAGCCGCCCGCCGCGGACTGTATGAGACAGCAGCTCCCAAACTGGTTTGCGCAGCTTCCAGAACAGATTTTTCCCGTTCCAGAGAGCCAAGCTGACCCCCTATGGATAACCAGCTTTTCCATCAACACAAAGCTCGCAGTGTCCCCACTTTCTGGGGTCCTGGGACTGCAGAGGCCAGGATGTCTCACAACCGGCAGCCAAGAGCGTGTCTGAAAACACGTCCCGATCCTGGTTCTCAAAAATCCCCACCTGCGGGTGCGTACAAAATGAGAAACTCAACTTGCACGCCGTCCTTTGTCTTCGGCGACCTTCGATTTGCACAATACTGGTTGCCACTTCTGGAGGATAAAACCAAATGAACGGCAAAGCTTCCAGGCAACCTCCACGATAAGGGAGGCTTCTTGGAGGTGAGGTTCTCAAAGCAGCGCGTAGGAGGACGTAGAATTAACCGTTCATCCTCGGGGGCCCTCAGAAGGTGCCGTGCCAGAAAGGGGCGCCCTGCTCAGGTGAGTCCCACGCAGTTTCTTCTCCACGGTGGTGGCGGGCTGTGTCATCAGGTGACACCCGCGGGTAACCTTCTTGCCTGGAGAGGACGTCCTCGTGAACACGGGACACAGATCCTGCTGCTGGCCCTGTGGGAACCAAGTCCTTCCCGTCTCACCCTTGTCCTGCTTGGAGCGGCTAGGGGAGGGGCTGCCCCAGGGCTGTTCTCGCCTCCTTCCTCCTCTCCCAGCCGTGGGGGCTCAGCAGGACACGGCCCACCGCGGTGACGCCACGCAGACTCAGGTCATGCCTGGCCCTTCGAATGCTGTTCGTTATCCATGTACTTTCGGGAGTCTCAATACAACCTCTTATCTCAAAAGAAATACCGCTGATTTTCAGTTACGTGCCTCGTTTCCAAGAGCCAGGTGTTACGCCCCAGGGGAGGGGCCCGTGGAGCGGGGGCCGTGCTCCCGCCAGCGACGGTCGAGTTCTCCGGCGTCCTCGGCCACATCCATGGGCTTCCACTCTGCACCCGCCAGGGGGAACTTGGGGTTGATTTCTCCTAAGAGAAGCCTCGGGAGGCGTCCCGACAACATGGGAATGCAGGGAAGTCGACCAAACTCTAGTCTAAGAAAGCACGTTTCAGCGCCGTGAACTTGGAGCCATTTTTCAAGTTTTACATTAAATCAAATAATTGAAAAAATATTGAGGACTGAAGAAAAAAACCAAACAGATTTATATTTTAAAATTCTAAAGAAGTTACTGCAAATTTTTAAAAAAAGGCCAAAAGCGTTGGCTACAAACCTAACGATTTAACCATTTTAAATGAGCCGTGATCAAGGCGGGAGAGACGTGGCCAAACACGTCGTCAATAGAAACACACCGGCTGCACACGGCGACCCCGCCGGGACAGGCAGCCGCGCAGCTGCCCGACGACGACGCCGTGGACGTGAGAGGCAAGCGACTCGTCGCTAGAAAGAACGCCACCCGTCTGTGCGCCACCCGCAGAGGACGGAGCTGAAGGGAAGGGCTGAAGGAGGACAGCGGTCACTGCAGAGGGGAGGGACGGAGGAGGCACTTCAGACACGGCGGCCCCAGGACAGTGACGCCTCCTCGGGGAGGAGGAGGAGGAGGGTCCCTCTGAGAGCTAAACGACATGCTAAGAGGGGCCGACGCCCACGGTGGAGAGTCGGGAACGGTTTCCTCGAGCCGTCCCTCGTCTTCCTCCCACTGCTCCAAAGGGCCAGGGGTTCCTCTGTGCGCCGAGATTCTGACGTTCTTGATTCTGAACGGCCACAGCTCTCTGAAGAGCTGCTTGTTCCTGTACTTGTCGGGAAGACCTACGTTTTTAATCTGGTTTTCCAACTTTACTTCCATAGCAAAAAAGGAAAGTTAAGAAGCATATTAAGATTTTTGCATTCAATTTCTTTTTTTTGAGATGGGGTCTTGCTGTTTTTCAGGCTGGATTCAGCAGCCTCATCACAGCTCACAGCAGCCTCCAACTCCTGGGCGCAAGCGAACCTCCCATCTCAGCCTCCCGCGTAGCTGGGACTATAGGCGTCACCACCACGCCTGGCTAAGTTTTCCATTTTTTGTAGAAAGGGGCCTCTGCTCTTGCTCAGGCTGGTCTCAAACTCCTGACCCCAAGCGATCCTCCCACTGTGGCCTCATTTAATTCTTACTGTTAATAATATTTGCTTGTCTATTTAAGGCCTTTCTCCTAAGTGCTATTATGGAACAGTATCTGATGAGCTTGGTTTTCTAGTGTGAAATGTGAACAGGAACTTTATTATACTTAGAAATAATTTTCATTCCCGAGAGTCTATAATAAACACATAGCTTATTTATTAAAAAAGTAGTTTAGTAATCAAAATAGAACAGGTATCTTATACTACTGCAAACAGGATTGCTAAAATGTTAGTTCACATAGACAGGTATACAAAGAGACATACGAATTATCACATTTAAAAGCAATTTTTGGCCGGGCACTGTGGCTCACGCCTGTAATCCTAGCACTCTGGGAGGCCGAGACGGGCGGATCGCTCAAGCTCAGGAGTTCGAGACCAGCCTGAGCAAGAGCGAGACCCCACCTCTACTAAAAAATAGAAAGAAATGATCTGGACAACTAAAAATATACAGAAAAAATTAGCTGGGCATGGTGGCGCATGCCTGTAGTCCCAGCTACTCGGGAGGCTGACGCAGGAGGATCACTTGAGTCCAGGAGTTTGAGGTTGCTGTGAGCTAGGCTGACGCCACGGCACTCATTCTAGCCCGGGCAACAGAGTGAGACTCTGTCTCAAAAAAAAAAAAAAAAAAAAACAAAAAAACAAAAAAAAAAACGGCAAAAACTAACTACACAAAAGGAATTCTTGTAAGCCGACGTGAAGGGAGAAAGTCAGGAATATCGGAAAGAACCAGAGCCCCTCCCGGACTCCCCACCCGCCGCGGCGAGCCCAGCGCCTCACCCGACAGTTGAGCAGCGTGTAGAGCACGTGGTCCGGGGTGGTCTGCGCCCTCCACTGCAGGACCTCCGAGAGGAACAGGAACTGAAACAGACGTGGGGGCGGGGTCAGGCCGGCATCTGGCTAGGCCGCCTCAGCGCCTTCGGGCGTCTTCACACAGCGCTCGTCTCCCAGGGAGACAGGACGTCCGTGTTCAGGAAAATCCCTGATGCACACGCGACTCGGAACGAGCAAACACTCCCAACTTCTCTCCTGCAGATTTGGAGCTCACTGCGACTGGCCAGACCCACAGCTGGAGGCTGCGCCTGGGCGGGGAAGTTCTGCGAGACTCTGCCCACGGATGGGAGAACTAGTTCCCTCAAGCCGACAGGGAAAAGCCCCAAGGGGGACTGGGGAGGACGCGACGTTGTTTTCTGCATTCTACAGTGAGAGAGTCAGACCTCTCCTGTTTTAAAAAATGGGCTCTTTTAAGTTTTTGCAAAGGCGACACCCTGATGTTACTAAACCACAAATTATACAAACTACACGTATCATGTTGATTCGGTCCACGGTGAGAAGAACAGCCATACTTCACGACAGGACGTAGAAACACCCCTGCGTGGCCCTTAACCCCTTTTATTAACAGAAACGCACGGCGCCGTGGGGCACACGGTGATCAGACACCTCGGTTAACGTGCCACCGCGCGCCCCCGACTGGGGACAGGCCACATTTCCCGATAGCTCACGCAGAGCGGGGCCTCTGCAGACTGAGCATTCTCAGGGCCGAAAGGTTCCAACGGGGACTCGCAGATGCACGTGGCGTACCGTGTGACGTCTGCGGTGGAAAGCGGCTCGGGGACTTCTCTGGCGGCCCCGACGCTGCTACGAGGAGGCCTCGCGCCAGCCCTGGCTCTGACTGTCCACCTGTTCCCCGGAGACCCGGGGCAGGAAGCCTTGCGGCAAGGTCCCCAGGAGGCCGTGTGGGCTTCCGCTGGGCCGGGTGGTCCGAGACAAGCGCTCGGGAACCTACGACGGGACCGGGATTCCCACGGGGGCGGCGTAGACGTGGGACTGGCCAAGCGGGAATTCGGGGTGCTCGCTCTGTGCGGCAGCAGCTCCTACCTTGCGGGCCTGGTCGTTGTCCTCGATCTGGCCCAGGTCTCGCCCGCTGGCCTGGGCGATCCTCTTCCCGGAGACCAGGTTCCCCACCATCACAGAGGCGGGGCCGATTTCTGGAAAGAAGCAGAGGCCGCAGGTGAGCAAACAAGCGAAACTCCTCACGGCGCAACGTCCCGCCCTGGTTCCGACCCCACCCTGGGGAAACCCTGGCTCCAAATAAATCACATTAGAGATTTTCAAAGAAATGACCGAAATGATCATCACAGTGAACGTGGACCAGCCGTGACCGGGGTTCTGCGGAAGTGACGATTCCGTCACCCGACACTGCACGTCCGGCTGGTGTGAACAGGGGTGTCCCCACCATCACGGTCGCGACTGTAAGAACGGCACGGCAGACGAACGTGGACCCTAAAACATGCCGAGCTCCGGCGCAGACCGTGCAGGTGCCGGACGCACCTGGCTGCTTCTGCCGCGGCTTGGGCAGGTTGGTGACGCAGGTGTGGGGGCACAGCAGCACGTTGCAGGGGTGCAGGGCGCCCTCCAGGAACAGCTGCTTTGTCTCCGACAGGTGGATCCCGCCGAGCGGGGTCTTGGGGAGCGTGTTGGCCGGCACCAGCGCCAGGCAGTACACCCCGACCTGGTGGATGCTGTCGATGGCCTGGGGAAGCGAGGAAGCTGCGTTACGGCAGGATCAGAGACGCTCGGTGAATGGGGGCATCGGGCAAAATACCGTCCACGACACGGAGACGTCCGTGGTGCTCGCGCCGTTCCCAGGGCAAAACCACCGAGAGAACTTTTTTTTAATCTGAACTCATCGAGCTGAGTAGTTTAATACAGGACTCGCAAAAGAGCACAAATGGGGCCGGGCGCGGTGGCTCACGCCTGTAATCCTAGCTCTCTGGGAGGCCGAGGCGGGCGGATTGTTTGAGCTCAGGAGTTCGAAACCAGCCTGAGCAAGAG